GCCGGCGCGCGGGGCGGCGCGGGGCGGGCAGCGGGGCGGGGCGGCGGGGAACGGGAGGGAACGGGAGGGAACGGGAGGGAATGGCGGGGAACGGGAGGGAACGGGGCGCCGTGGGCAGCCGGCCCCGGGCGCTCCGTGCCTGGCCCTGGGATCGGTACCGGTGGCGGCCGGTACCCGGTGGTGGCCGGTACCCGGTGGCGGCCGGTGCCGCTCACGCCGATGCGGGCGGTCGCGGTTCTGCCTGTCAGCAACAAGAGGAAAGCAGCAGGCCGGGAGCCCGGCTCTGCCTCCGGGAAAGGAGCTGTGGACAAGGGGGCCGGGATCAGCTCCTTGCAGGGGTGGTGAAAAGCAGCTGGGATTTGGATACAGCGGGGATGCTGTGCAGAGCGCCCGGCCTCACAGAGTTGCCTCTTTCCCTTCCCATTCCTGTGGTTTTYAGCTTGCATCCAAACACCTACACTGCCAGGGAAGCAGGAGCGTAACTGTGGAGGCCGCTCGGGGATGGGGGTAACGACGTGTCAGGCCACAGAGACGTTCACTAGGAAAGCTGTAATTCCAAAGGGTAGCCTACTCGGTACCATGCCAGACTCTCGGGCAGTGCTTATAGTCTGTCTCAGTATAAATTAGTGCTTAAAAATGCCTATTCCTTACAGGAATGCTTTCTCAATGGCTGCAGTTTGATACAACACAATCAGGAAAACCAGTCCCCTTGATACTGCTTCCTTGCAGGCATTCTTAAACTTGTCCCTGCTATCAAGAATACTCCCGTGACTCTGGAAATAACCCTGGTAACTTTTAAGCTTTATATATGTAAGCACAAAGCTTGCACTACAAACCTTCAGGTCTCCCAATTAAAGCAGAATCTCTAGAACATGAAAGGAATCTAAGCTTGACTTTAAGAGTTGATTCTCAATAATATTCCTATATAAAAATGCAACTAAGATGGATCTACACAAATGAACAGGTTATCCTTGAATCCTTGAAAAGAGGAGCTGTCTTGCAAATAAGTATTTGCTATTCAAAAGCATTTCAARATAGTACATAGAAAAGAATAACCTAGTATTTGTGTGTCATGAAAATTACCTCAGAAATTTATCTTTTCTGCTTCTTACACTGTTGGTTGTCCCCCCCCTGCACTTACCTTATAATGCATCTTCACCTTACGGTGTGGATAACCTTGTACCTGTCAAAGCTGGGCTTAAAGTGAGCTTTCACAGATCTGACTTCTTTAGGAAAGGCAATCAGCACATCACATCCATAAACTCACTCAGCATTAAAATGACTCCACTACTCAGAAACTCTTTTCACGTTAAGCCTCAAATGAAAAGTGAAAAATGTTTCTCCATTTATTTTTCCCCTAAATTAGGAGAGCTGATGGTCTCATTTATATTGCTGTGTCTTTGTAAGAGGCAGGAAATGAAAACCACCACAGCCGTGATAACTTGGTACAGCTCTACTAAAGAACAAAAATTTGTTTTTAAATGGCTTGAATGAAAATCCAAGTAATCCAATCACTGCTCATAAAGTTACCATTTTAAGCACAGAAATAACAACATAAACTTGTATTAAGAATTACTGTGCTTTCCTGCTGAAGTCCATTTTCCACTTATGCCACTAAGCTAGTATTTTGAATGGTTCAAATTATCTTATTACTCAGTAAAAAGCCATATGAGCTTGAGCTGCTCTAAAGAATATCCAAACTCCACATAAATACAGAATATACAAAGACCATGTATAACACAGGAGTATTTTTAACTAAAACCATACAGACTAAGGGCTAATGGAGAAAGCACCCTGAGGGGGGTTCCCTTTTGCTCTCCAAGTAGGCAAGAGACCATTAGGGCAYAAGTACCTGCCCTTCACTCCTGATGACAATTTAGGGCTTAAGGTCTCCAAAGAGACTGGGCGTTTTGTTACCAAGTCACTACAGCAAGACAAGATCAGGAATACCAGTGATGAGACAAGCCTGTGAGTAGAATGTGTACAGAGCATTTTGCATGCTATAGCCCTTAACAGTATAAGGCTTTGTTATGTTTAACAGCAGCAGAATGGGTAAAATAGCATCACACAGTAAAATAACTCATGGGTCTACATGTTGCTGCAGAAAAACATGATCAAATTTTGAAAAATTATTTGATAGCAGCCAGCATTATCATAGTTGAGGGTGTTTCCGATGAGAAAACCTTGCATTATGACCCACATCTTCACTCTGAGCTGTACCACTTAGCTCAAAGAAATTGGTTCCTACCCTACTACAAGGAATGGATTGAGCCTTTCTGGTACTGGAAGTCCACAGGAAAATCAGGAATGCCATTTAACTGGCTAAACATTTAAAGTTTGAAGTAATTCTGTCTCAAACGTGAGAGCTGCCATAAAGACTTAGGTACAGACTCAGGCTCTGTACCTCAGACTCAGACCCTACACTGAAACCAGTATTTTCCATTTCCCCCCACTTTTAACAGAGGTACAGCTTCAGAAAAGTTAAATTTTTGAAAAACCTTGTCAGTTATGTCACTAACTTGGCCTCATCTCAGACCTGAAAACCATTTTTTTGGGGGTTTTCATGGCATCTGCATAAGTTATTTTCATGGAAGATATGTAAGTTATTTTCATGGGAGGTATGACAGTTCCCTTGGAATGGCTTGGCACAGCAGGGAAAGACAGAGCCAAACCCGTGTGTGGACAGCCTACTAGCAGCTCAAGAGCTGGCAGAACCTCTGCAGCCTACAGTACAGCCAGGGACTTTCCAAAATGGGCCTCATGCCCTCRGACAAACAGTATCGTGTACTTTCCATTACTGAAATAGTGCTATTGATGGGAACTGTTGCTACAGGGCTGACATCCATACTTAAGRCAAGAGGAAGAAACCATTTTGAGATGTTGTTATTCTACAGCTACCAAGAGGAAGCTCCTTCACACTCTCTTCTTTTTTTGATCCAAGAGAGAATTTTGTTGTTGTTTTTCAAGAAAGGTGATCTTATATTGAAGATATCTTTGTATAAACAACTATAATACTACAAGGTAGTAGTTCTCTGGAGATCTTCCAACCCTGCCTGGACATGACCCTGTGCCCCTGGGTGCTCTGGGTGTCCCTGCTGCAGCAGGGGGGGTTGGACYAGATGATCTCCAGGGGTCCCCTCCAACCTCAACCACTCTGTGACACAAAACAGATCAACATCAACTGTTCTTTAAACTGTTAAACTTTATTATAAATTAAAATTTCTTTACAAAAAAATTGCACATAATTGACCACTCTTAGGTTCTGATGCACTGGCATTTGCAATAGTTTCTTTAATCTTCAAGTTTAATAGTCTCTGCCGTGAGTCCAATGCAGAAAAGGGCAGTAAGCAGCCCCCTTAGAGCCTTCAAGTGCAAGAAGCATACTTGTGGCCACGGCAGTGACACTTCCCTTAAAGAGCGGCTGCTTTTGTTTTAAATCCTGTAATGAAAAAGTCTCAAAAAGGTTTAAAAAAAAGGTAAAACCCAAAGTGGACTACTTTTTTGTTGTTTTTTTTTGTTTGTTTGTTGGCTTTTTTTTTTTTTAAACTGTAAACACAGCCCAGTAAGTTAATCCCAAACACAGATCTCTCAGGCATCAGCGAGAGTGTCAAGTGAATCAGGAACAGCAAAACAAAGAAAACAGAAAATAAAAGGAAAACATAAAAAAATAATGTCTGTCATTTTGATTAACTATACTTACGTACATGATGTTATGAGAATCGGGCAGGGCCCAGAAGCAAGGCCAGACAGGGAGTTCATTTATCCAGAGAGGAGGCTCATGTTACTTGTTTCCAGGTTCAAAGAAAGCAGACTGGAGACTTGATAAGCTCAGCAATACTCATCTGCCTTACACAGATCTTAGGCATGGATCAGCCTGGAGAATCATTCAATTGATTTTGGCATTTAATAGGACTTGGGGCTGACCATACTCAGTGTTCAGTGATTCTTGCTTTCTGTTCTGTAAGTGTTTAAATTTAAAAGCTCATCTAGGCTGACTCCAACCTCTTGGCACTTGGGAACTAGTTTTCTCAGGTTATCAGTTTTACCTCCTCCTGATGCTTCAAACAAGAGTTGCTGCAAGAGATGGGGAAGCAGATATAAGATTTAGCCAAAGCTTGAGCATCACCACATCTATGGATATGGGATATGCAGAAAATTTGTATGAAACCTCAAACTGAAACAAAAGGAGAAAACATTACATCTTTCCACAGTGTTGCACACAGAGGTAACTTCTGAAGGGCTCTCTGATATAAATGGTGGACCT